GTGACATCTTTGAATATGGCTCACCAGCCCACTGGGTGATAAAAAGTTTGTGATCTGGCCCCACAATCAAACAGCTTGGACACTCCTGCTCTAAACTAATCACAAGTAAGTAAGTGCTCCACTTTGAGGGCCCTCCAGAATGATGCTAGGATGACTACCAAAAGAAAAAAGTTTCCCAGAGTTTACAAAAGTTATCACAGAAGCTGAAAAAAAATCTGTGATTTTTAAGGGTTGTACTTCTGCAAGAGGATCAGTTAATGATACATGCTGACTGAAATATAACAGAACTCTGCTCATTTAAAACAATGGATAGCCTTCCTATCTTTTTATAAGCATCAGTAGTTTCATAAACATACTTATGGGTAAAAGCCATCCAAGCAGTAGTTATTATGACTTTGGAAGCTATACTATAGAAAACTTTAACTCAGTATTGAAACTTCAATAGACAATTGTGAAAGTACAAAAATCACTCATCCACTGTAGCAACAGACTTTGGAAGCAACTCATAACAGGAATGAGTCAATGAATGAATGAATGAATGAATGAATAGCAAGAGCAGGAAGGCATTTTGATGCAAATATGACTAAATTCCCATCCATTTCTGAAACAAATCTTGACAAAGATAAATAAGAAGTACATAACTCATATTTAAAACAGCTTGACACATCTGCATATCATACCAACAAAAGAGCAAGTTGATTGCTTACTCACACTGTAAGGTAAGAAATACAGATGATTATTAAGGGAAGCTAAAGTTTTCAGTAAAATACCTGCGGCCACCGAGATAAAAGTCAGTATATAGGTGTGCGTGCGTGCGAGAGAAAGGAATCCTAGAAATGAAAGAATTGTATTACTAAATAGAGGTGGTAAAATTCTTAATAATGATATAATGATTCTGGACAGTTTTCTGTTGTACAGTGGGAAGGAAACAGAACAATGAACTTACAATGACTGTGTCCTTTTATTTTCATAATATATCTACCAAATATTTATCATATTTACCATTTATCTTACAGTACCATATTTAGTCATATTATTCATGCACCCTTTTCTCAAGTATCCTCCCCCACAAAAAAAAAAAAAAAAACAAAAAAAAAAAAACAGGGTCCATGTTTTAAGCAGAGAAGCTGATTTTCTTCCAGGAACTGAAAAATTATACTTAATTTCCTGCTTCTGCATTTATTCCTGCTTCCAGCAGCAATGGAATTTTTATTTAGGCAGGTAAGGGAGTCAACTGATTAATGGCTTACTGTTTTTTCACTCCACAGGTGGATCTAGGGGAGGTGCACTGGTGCAGCTGCATCCCCTTTTGATTCTTGCTCCACCCAAAGTTTAAAAACAACTGCCTGACAGTTGCAGCAGCATTTCTATTCACGCTGTAGTGAGAGCATCATTTGACTTCATGGCTTATTAAAATCTGATTCCTTCCAAACTCTTTACTCCACAGGAGTTAATGGTAATTGACCAAAAATTAATGGTTTTAATTTTAACCCATTAAAAAGAAGAACTCTTCTTTTTAATGGTTTGGATGTGCCGTTAATGAAGCTAACCTTTCTTCTGCAATTCTGCTGTCAGTTAGTTGCCCCTGGTAATGTAGATCCTATTTCATAGTGTGGCAGCCTGTTTTTAACTCATTCCAATAAACTTAAATTGAAGCAGAAAAAAAATAAATAAAATGAATAATATAGTCCTAGGCCCTAGCATCTAGTTTCTTTTTAGCTGGAGAAAATGTGTTATGTTATATGGGATGAACCATCTCACCTGTCTTCCCCTCCCCTCTTTTTCAAAATCATAGCTATGCCCATGACAAGTGTCAATGATCATCTTTCCTTTTTAAATTATCTTGATGTTCCACTAAACAAAATAACCTTTCTTCTGGCAAGTTTACTGTCTTGTAGCTACCCTTGGTCTTTCTTGTCTCTTTCACAACCTTGTAGATGCTTCAATTTTTTTTAAGCTCTTATGAAAATTCTAGCTCCACCCAATGAGACAAGCAACAGTAGCAGCTGGGGTTTCACCTTTTGGTTAGGCAGGAAAGGAAGGGTAAGTATACTGAAGATTAGGCTCCACCCCTACTCTAGGCACTCATAACTCTGTAAAAGTGTTTTTTTCTTCATTTGGCCTTCCCAAAAACAAGGTGCTTGTCTTTTTTTAGAGGGATATGGCATGTGAGAAATGATGGTAAATAGGAAGGATGTTAAATGCCATCTACTAGAGTTCAACTTAATGTCACAACCCAAAGGGTGTGATTTTTGTTTTTGTGTGCTTCGGCACTGCTAAATTGTTCCCGCTAAATTGCAGCTTCTTTGCACGGTGGAGTTTTCTGCTGCAAAAGAGAACCCCGGTGCAAGGGAGAATTTCCCGCCAATTTGAAGCTTTCTTTGCAGGGTGCATTTCTTTGTTGCAGCACAGAAATGCTCGTTGCAAAGAGTTCCTGCCATTTGTATGCTAATTCGAGCCCCATTATTGGTCAGTTCTAAATTATTCACACGTGGCAGCTAGTGATTGGCTTGCTAGCCATATAAAAGGCTTGAGTGGTTTCCGCCCAAGTTGGAGGACTCCACGAACACCAGAAAGAGGAGACTTCACACTGTGTGAAGATCTCTAAGCGCTGCGGATCCCTACGGACCCAACGCATTTCAAGCAGGCAACAGAGGTCTGATCAGCCTCTAGTCTCTCCCCATCGCCGATAGATTCCTAGACGTATCCCTCCCTGCGCGCAAAAGAACCGGACCCACGAAGCCTAGCAAACTTCGTGTGGATGAGTGAGCAGAAGGACCCACGGAGCCTAGCAAACTTCGTGTGAGTTTATTCAGGGCTCTTTCGGACGAGTACTTTCTTCGGTTGGCACAACGGGCTCGCGGTTTAGAGCCTCCAACTGGATTGGGCTAGAGTTCGCGAGTTTAGAACTCTTGTCCGCCTCTCTTCTCTCCTGTCTGTAACCGCAACCCAAGCAAGTTTTCCAGCCTACACCACAACCATTTTTGGTGTAAGTAAACAATCTTTAAAGCTACCGCTACGAGTCTGTGCCTAATTCTAGCTTGACGCGCCCTCTCTCTGACCCAGTGTGCCCAGGCTGCTGGCCACAGCCTGCGTGCAGCACGAAAAAGGGTCACTCCCGGCCCGCACAATTAAGATCAGCCCAATAACTGGCTTCCCCAAAATTTAAAATCGTTTAAGGAACATTTAGAACCACTAATATTCAAGACTCCACAATCCATTAAATAAGTTTCACAGGACTGTAAAGTACTAGATATGCCTATTTTTAGAAGATGAGCCAAATAATTATTGTCAAGTTTGGTTCCTATCAATGTATTGCAAAATAATAAATGGCTATTATGGGAGGCTGCTAAGAAAGATCAAGGGACAAAAAATTAAAATCAGTCTGGGTGCACTTACATGTGCCTTTTAATATTATGCCTTTTAATTTATTTACACGTGCACCTGAGACCTCAGTACATTGATCCAGGGCTGCCTGGGGCATGAGGGTGTTTCAGTGCTTGGGTTGCCTGCCATCTAGTCCCATGCTGAAACTCTTTTATGCCCCCATCCAGCCCTTCTGCAGCACACTGAGCTGGAGGAAGTAGTCCTGGGCTGGCAGGCTGACCCCCAGAGACCCTTGCTAGTCAGGGCTGCTCCTCCTAGACTATAGATGCTGCACCTGCATAAACTGCAGAGCTTATTGCAATTAACTCTGAAGCAAGAACTTTGCAGTTTATTCTTCAGGTGCCATAAATGCATGTGTAGACAAGCCCAGAGAACTCAAGGCTAGATCAGCTTTCTGGCAACAGCTTCAGGTGGCCAGGGGGAATCTCCAGCTCCATGCATTTGAATTCCTTGGGGGAGGAATGAGAGGAGAAAGGATGGTTACCATCCAACTATATTCCAGCCAAATAAAGGAAGAAGATGTAATTTTTTTGGTTTAGAAGATTTTGTGAAA